AGTAGCATAACCATCGATAGTGAGAATGGTTAGTTTTAAAATAATTTAAACAATTATAGTACTTGAGAATAATATTAAAAGAATAGCCTTAAAAGAGATAATATAAAAAAAAGATAGGCCTGTTTACAATCATTCCTTCTTGTCATTTTGAGAAATGTGTAAGAATGTGAACTTACACTGATCGTTCAAAAAAAAAGAAAGATGAGAAGATGAATAGGGTTGAAGAGGAAAATGAAATGAAATGACATCGAAACCCATCCAACAATAATAATAACAACTATAAGAGATCTTTCATTGTTATTATTGTAATCTATAAATTTGAAAAATACATAACATTTCGTTCTTTATCCAACATAAAATAATCTTTTTTTACATAAAAAGAAAATTTAATTTTCAAGAAAAAAGAAATTTATAATCCATCGAATAATTTTTAGAAATAGGACGAATTAATTATTGTTAAAATATATGAATGAACTTGAAATGTTTATAATTTTGATTGTTTTCCTGAATGATATTAGTATTTAAAAATTTAGCCAATGCATTCCATATAGGAAGACAATTGGGCAACTGTGTCATATAATCCAACATGAATTGATCAAGAAATAAAATATTTAAATGTAGGATGAAGACATATTAGCTAGAATCTGCAAATGTAAATGACACATCGTAATGTTTGTTCTGAATTATTCTAATCTTCTAAGCTTAATCATTACGGATTAATGTTTGTTGATTAAAATAAGTGATAAAATTTGACAAAATTCATAAATTTCATCTTACTTCTCAAAGGAATTTTGCTCCCTAATCTTAGTCACATTAGAAAGTGCTATTTAAGATTTAGAAATTTTAATTTCTCCTAAGGTAAGAAAAGGTTTCATTTTATTAATTTAACATTTCTCCAAGATATACAATTAACGCATAGAATAACATTTGTTAAAGCGAATGAATTTCACAAAATTCATTCGCTTTAATTATTTTGAAAAGCAAAAGTAAAACTAACAAAACAATAGATATCAAAGCAAATAGTAAAAAAAAAAAAGCTATATCTTTGCTATTTGATGCAGATAATCCTATAAAGATTTTATGATTTCATTTTTCTAATTTTTTAGTAGTAGCAAGTAAAGAGTAATAAATCACTGATAATACCTGGTAAAATGATGCCAACTGAAAAAAAAAAGGACTTAAATAATGGAAGCGCCTTATCAAATAATAGAGAATGATATTTTCATATCGATAATCATTTATTTATTTCCTACTTAATCATAAAATTTCAAAGTAAATTTTCTCATTTATTATGATAACTATTAAAATGGTTTAAAGGATTTTGCCAAATTATTAAAAGAATTATTGTTGCGTAGATCAGATTAACAACCAAATGTATTATATTATGTATAGAAATGAAAATTGAGATTTAAAGAGTGTAACAATGATTGACATTGCATTCAATCTATGCTTGCACTTTTTCTTTTTCTTTTTGGTCTTTAACAAAAGTATAATATTTGTTTTCGTGGAGTTGCTATTGGATCTAAAATAACAGAATTAAAAGATAAAAAAAAGAAAAAACATAAAATAGAAAAAAATGGATATTTAAGGATAAAATAACTAACATAAAACAAAGAAAAAAGAAATGCAATTTTTATCTTAAATGAACTGCAAGAGAGTATGAAAAGATTTTTTTTTTAGAGTGAAATGAAATGAACATAACAAACTTTAAACAAAAAATAGTATGGGTTTTTTTCTGAGCAAAATTGAATTTTATTTTAAAAACAATATTTTGTTAGGAAAAGGATACTTCTCAATTATCTGATATTATAAAAATTTTTTGCTGTTCAAATGTTACCAAATATTGCAAAGAAATTTTAGTTGCATATAAGGTAAAATGTAAAATTATCATATCTTCCACAACATAGCATTTCCAAAATCAAAATGTCACAAAAGGGTAGTTTTTCTTCCCGAAAGTGGTTGCAATCTAACCATGCCTATCAAATATGAAGAAGATAGAAATAAAAAAAAGTGGAAGAAATAATGATACAATTTTTGTTTGGAAAACATATTTAAGGAATAAAAGAAAAAAGATAATAGAACATTAAAAAGCCGGTTTTTTTTGAAAATGGATGAGAAGAAGGACAGGCTGAATTTATCTTTCTTTGGTTAACTTTGAAGGAAAAAAATAATAACTCAAAAGTTTAATTAGTAAGAAATGTATTATCTAAACAAAAATTGCCACGTATTTATAGCAAAAAATTTTGCATTCTATTAACAGCGTTACTTTTGCAAATAATTATTACATATCGAAAAAGTAAAACAAAAGAATATTATTTGGAAATTTAAGTGAAAATACTAAAAATTCTGAAATAAGTTTATTTCATTTTTTTAACATAATATTCCTTCTAATTTAAGCAATTTATAAATAATAAAAGAGTTACGATTAAATTTATCAACAAACATTCAATAACATTTATATAATTTACACTATTAGTTCAACAGTTAGAAAAGTTATTACTTCAAGAGTAAAAATAGAAAAAGAAAAATGAAGAAAGACGTAAAATAGAAAAATGATAAAATAATTATAATTGATTATAATATGTTTGTCAACAGTGACAACTATAATTGCTTGTAGCACAGCAATGCAATATCTAAATGAAAGAATAGTGAGAAATATAAATCTCCCAGAAAAAGAAAAAAGCCGACCAATGGTGTTGTTAGAAATTTTGAAAGAATAATATCATTTTCTCTGACATTTGTTATTACAATAAAGTCGCCGAAAAATATTTGTTCTTTTAAATCTTTCATATCATTTTTCACTCCTCCTTCTTTTCTCTCTTTTTCTCTCTCTCTCTCTTCCTTTTTTTATTTGATTTGAAATTTATTATAAATGTTATTGTCATTTTAATCCTATTCACAGAATTATATTATATACCATCAGGCATACAAGTACAAATTAATTTATTCAGGTCAAAACTTGATTTTCTTTTTTTTTTTACTGTTGTTTTCTTGAAATGTATTTCTTAACAAATTTCATTAAATGCATTAATACTTGAAACACCTGCAATGATGATTACATGTTATCATAATTCGGGATATTGTAAAATTTTGAATTTATTTGAAATATGCACATATATACCTGGGTGCATAATTTTGTTGCATCAATTCGTATAGAACTTGAAAATCGTGGCGCAAAACGATTGCGAATTTCAAGACGTGTGGCCGAATGAGAGCGTCGCCGATTATTCATCATATCAACAATACAAGATCCGGTCATTCACCAGTACGAACACTACCGATCTTTGACAGTACCCGAAAAGGTGAAGATAGAAGAGCAGAACCTCTCCTGTAAGATTGAATTTGTCAACATTACCGTTCAGATGGAACCCACCTCTTACAACAGTTAATGAACCGTTCAATGCAACTGGTACCCCTTTTCTCAACCTCCTATTTACAGTTATTTACTAATTTAAACGATACGAAAGATCAGCAGGGAGAGACGATACTGTGTACCTCGTCTTTCTCTCCTAATCTATCCTTCAATCAACCCAATTTACCAACTATTAAACTCTCTCCCTCTCCCTTTGCTCCACCTCTTTCTTCCTCATTTTGATTCTAAATTTCTTTTTAATGCAAATGTTTTGTTCATTATTATCTAATTTTTTTTCCCATTCTTTCATAGACTATGTAATGCATCACATATTCATGAAATTTCCTTTAATCAATAAACAATAAATAATCGTCAATAGACCATCGATTCCCGAAGACACCGTTGATCATCTCTACTTTCACATCAATTTCAGAGATGAACACAGTACCAATGCAATAATATCATCCACATATATACTGTTTACTGTTTATAGCTCGTAAAAATGGTTTACAGATCATAAAATCACCAATGAACTTAAAGGGGGTAAAGGAGTCGATAAAAGTGAAAAGCACAAAATACAAAAACAAAACATAAATTTGTTACTGTTTAAAACAGAATAACTAAAACTATAATAAATAAATAAAAAACAATCTAACATAAAATGTGACGATTTATAACTCGACGTACTGAGTAGCATGCGTTTTATTGAAATTCAAAAGTAAAGAAAAAAGATGTAAAAATGCCAAAAGATCCAGTTTTACTTCCTCTTCTCTTCGCTCAAAAGGTCTGATAGGAAAGGTCATCACTATAAAAAGCTGAATTCCTTTTAAACTTCTCTAGATTGTTGAATTTTATTTCTTTCACTTAAAGCATCATGAAAACATAAGAACATGAGAAAGATAAACAAAACAAGGCTTTGTGAAAAGTTTGGTTTTGAAAAGAGTTATCTTTAAAAAAAGCGTTCCAAAACACTTCATCAAGACACAAACCTGTAAGTGTAACAAGAAAATAAAAATACTGTTAACTAATGCGTCCTGCCTTATGAATGAAAAATAATTTCATTTTAAGGTTACATGAAAGGGCAAGTTTATTCGATACGACTTCTGCTCACCATCAACTCGCCAAACCAAACTTCAAAAAGTAAACATTAGTCAACAAATCAATTACCCACTATTAAAATTATTAATAACAAAGCAGTATTAAATCGATTAAAGTAGGTCGTAATTGTAAATACTTAGCAAACAATGACTCTTATACCAAGAATATCACAGAATTTAACTTTTTTGCACCAAAAAAATGGTATTCCCAATTCCGCAAAAAAGGTTACCAGACAACTTTCATTTACCTTAATCAAACAACAAACTTTCAAAAAAAAAAAATTTCTATCTCTTCCCTTAACAAAAATTTTAAAATCCTATCTATGTCCTTTAAAAAAAATTTATTTTCTCTCATCTCACAGATTCTACCATTCAACTACAAATGTGTTCGTAGCAATCCTCAAAATAACAACGGAAGTGTAGAAAGGGTTTGCGTTTCGAAAAATTCGTTTAGGAGGCTACATCAAGAGTGTAATACAATCACCTTTGTATTAAATGATTATTCAACTTGATGAAATTTCCTTGCAAATGTAAATAAGAAATCACACAATTTAATAAAGCTGTTTCGTCCAAAGTTTGAAGGTACGGTCAAAAGCAACACTTGCAACCCACTTTCCATCAGGAGATATGTCAACTCCCATCACTTTCGTATCATGACCCATAAGCTGCCGTAGAGGACGCCAACCGCAAGTTTCCCAAACCTAAAATCTTGATAAATTTTTGCAGAAAAAAAAAAAAAAAAAAAACCTGTACAATAAGCACAATTTCAAGCATACAGAACTTAAAAAAAACCATTACCTCTGTTTTTTTTTTTTAAACAACAACAACTTCCTTTTTAGCAATTCCAATGTTATTTCAGAACACTTACTTTTAGAGAGTTATCGAAGGATGATGTAATAATGTACTGTCCCTTTGATTCTACCCGAAGACCAGATACAAGAGAAGTATGTGCAGCAATTGGTTTAAGTGCACGCCTTATCCTCAAATCCCAAACCATGCAACTATTGTCCGCAGAACCCGTGACCATCTGATAACTGGAACAATTGATTTACTATTTCATCTCAGCTTTTTATGTACAACATTATCATGAAAAAAGCAGTTTGATATCATTTTAACCGATAATAAAACACTTTTCCAACTTACCCATTTGGTAACCATTGTCCACAGTGGATTTCTTTCTGATGGCCTTCCAAAAACATAATACAGCGCCCTGTTCGTAAATCCCACACACGGCCATAACAATCCATTCCGCTGCAAAAATCAAATTCATAATATAATAAAATATATAGGATAATAATCTAATAGCGTACACTGTCATAATGAGTGATCCATCCACTTGAAAATCGGCATGAAAAACCGGCCGGCTGTGTCCTTCTTGAAAAAGAACTTCCTGTCCATACTGCAGATCAAATAGTCTCCATGAGCAATCAAAACTGAAAAGAGAAAATTATCAACTGTCTAATAAGCTAACGAATCTTTCCACCTGAAAAACATTTAGTAACGGTACAGATTTCCTAACGAGTTTCATTGTATGTACATTCATTAGAGAGAGCTCCTTATCATTAAAATCACATACCAATGGCTAAAAATGTCAAAAGTATGACAAATAGGGTTTTTTTTTCCCCATAACCAGTTTCAATCTTGATGGCATGAAAGCATACTCTCATTATTGATACAATGTATTGTTATTTCTGTTTAAAAGGATTTTAAATGAGCACCAGCAAGAAGCAAGGAATCGTCCAGATGGATGAAAAGCAATCCGAGAGACCCGCTGAGAGTGTGGTTCCAGTTCAGATAGTGGCGAATCACTTTCTAGGCTCCATAATTTTACCGTCCCATCATGGCTGCAACTAGCTGCATTCAGTGCATATGATTCCTGCGAAACATATGCCCCTGGATGAAATCTAGCGCATCCTGCTTGGCTGGCGTGTCCAACAAATCTTCTTTCACGACTACTTTCTGGTATCGACCAAATGCTACATTCTCCTGACCTAAAAATGAAATCACCTAAAGAATACAATTTTGAAATAATTAAGGAGAAGCCTTTTAGAATTCACATGTCAGCAATATATTCATCTGTTACAATGAATGATGGTAAACATTAAGTACTAATCATTTCAGCTTTTCACTTTTATTCAGCTCTTATTCTCAGTTACAACTTCTACATTTTACCTGTCATTGACTTTAACAATGAGAGCTTAGGAAACGAATGTTTATCACGATAAAATCTAAAACACACCATCCAGAAGTGATTAGATGTTTCGAGTCAGGTGAAAATTCACAGTAGGAAACAGGTCTAACATCTGCCACTTGTGAACCATAAACAGTCAGTGCTGCGACCCACCGATGCATTTCTTGTGCACGCACAGCAGCATCATTTGTCGTACGAGTAGCTTCTTTATGAGCCTGAAAATCAAAATTAATCATTAATATCAGCAATAATTTCAAACCAATAATAGTGACCTTTAGATAGTATACCTTCCGTAATCTTTCTTGAGCTCTTCTCAAAGAAAAATCAGCAATCGCGACGCGGACATCCCGAAGAGCTACTGGCCCTTTATGATACCATGTAGATGAATCTCGTTGTTGCACGGTTTCTGTTTCTTCAGGACTGTGCAGTATCCTTGTAACTTCTTCTTCAGATAATGTTGATAGCAAAGCCCGCAACCTTTCCTTCCGGTCCAACTTGTCCTCTCCAAAAAGACCTAAAATATTTGGTTCATCATTTGAAATAAGTCATTAAAAAACAGGAAGGAAGAGTAATAGTTATATGGACTTAATAAAATATATATAACATTTAATAACAAGTGGAGAGATTCAAAACGGACTGACGATTTCTAATATTTAGTTGTTACGTTTTGTACTATCACAATCTCGGTTAATTTACTAATTCTAATTGTTATTCTCTCACCAGTTTTTGGCCACTAAAGTAGTCATAAAAAACCAGCAGGAGTATTTAGTCATAACTGCATAGATAATTTCGTCTTTCCCTAGCCTATATATATATATATATATTTTTTTTCATCAGCAATAGTGGTGAAAGGCAAAAAGCATCATGTGTTTAATATTTGTTTCATATATATATATATATATATAAAACCTATGAAGTCGAAATAAACTTACAGATTGGTTCATCAAGTTTTCGCAAAAGAAGTTTAACATGGCCATCATCCGTAGGTAAAGTTAAAGTACGAGCTCTTCGTCGTCTTTCAAATTCTGCCATTACTTCCCTTTCCATGGGATTATCCACCATCTCCAAATCGAACTGATCATCTTTTCTTTCAGCTTCACGTTTCTCAGCTTCTGCCTGAAATGCAGTAGCCATTTAAAAACTTGCGACTTTCTTCACAAACACTTTCAAAATAGTAACCCTATAACTTCGCAAACCAATAGTAAATGATAGATAAAAAACTCATTATCATTATATGACTAGCACCCTTATTCGGTTCGAAAAGAAATAACTTTTTTTTAATTGAATCTATCACTCACTGAAAGAATTAGGCATGAAATCTTCCTCAACACAACAAGTTTCATGCTTTTTTTCATCAGCAATAGTGGTGAAAGGCAAAAAGCATCATGTGTTTAATATTTGTTTCATGAATTGAATTTTTTTTTCAAAAATTTATTTGTTGAACTCTTATAATCCCTATCTTATTATTCACTCCCATAATCTTTTAATTCAATAGCTTACCATCACTATCAGTGAAAACAGAACAAAAACTTCCTCCTGGGATAGCACCTGAGAATTCAGTTCTACCAAACAATACAGGATACACCGAATAAAGATATACAAATCACAAATTTTAAAGGCCAAAATAGAACGTAGAACACTGATTAATCAATGAATCAATTTTATGCTAAGAAGATGATTTCCCAATTTTTATTAAATACACAACCAGTACCTGCAACTTATGAACAACTTCTTCATTAGCAAGACTGCCGAAGTGCACCTTCTGAATTACTGCTGGAATATTTGATTGCTGCGCCTCGCCCATCCTGTTCAATCTCTCACCTGCAATTACACTGAATAAATTCCATCAATTCAATTGTATTTAAACAAATTTTGAAAAATCTCTCAACATGACGCAACTGTATAATTTTCCGAATCGTGTGTGTTTAAAATTATTTCAAAGATTTAAGAATTCATTTTCAAGTTCTTTATTTTATACAATGAAAAGAAATCGTGATGGAAAACAATTGAAAACAGGTTAATTTCACAATTCCATGCAAAAGTTTCACAACTTGTACATTTCATTTAAAAAAAAAAAAACAACATTATATATTAAGAAAGTGAGACCCTCAGAAAACCTTACATAACAAAGTTAAAAAGAAAATTTTCATTTTAACGTCAGGTCTGAATATATTCGTGCTAAAATTTGTTGATTAACGAATGTATCACACGAGATGGATGAAAACTTTAGTCTCTCACTATACAATTTAATCGAATTGTATCTGATATTACTTGAGAGATCTGAAACTTCTTCATTTTTAAGTCTTTTATTTTATACAATGAAATGAAATTGTGACTCAACAGTTTCAAATAAACGAATCATTTATTGATTGATTAAAGTAATATGAAACAGTTAAATCTTTGGATGTATATGCTAGACAGAATAACTAATTTAAAATAATAATGACTTCACTGTTATAAGAGATAAAGTTTCTCTGAAACATTTGCAACAATGTATATATACTAAGCAAGTAGTTCCTTACTATGTTGAGCATCCCTCAAAATATTAATTACAACTCCAATGACTAGTCTTTCAACTTTCCATAATATTTCTATCTATCATCATCTCACCTTACTAGAATTAAAAACATTTCTTAAATACTCAGTGCTTTAATTAAATAAAAAACAGCAATACAATGTTTGATTTTGAATTTAAAAGTGATCTCTGAATTTAAAACACCATTTATTTTTACATAATCCACAATTTAAAATTCTACTTGACTGACAAATATTATCTTTGATAAAGTAAACGATATCACTTCAGGAAACGGAAAACATAATAATCCCGAAACCTGACAGCCCATCAAACATTCTGAATACCACTCCGACCTTTCCTTCACCGATTTTTCTCTTTTCGGCCTAAACTTCCGCTATGTATTTCACGGTTCATACAAATCTGTTCTAATTTTACCGTCGCAATTATGCGCGTGGCGGTTTGGGGAATTTGATGTATGATCTGTGTGGAGGTGGGCGGTGATCGCTTTTCTTCATATCTGTCCTTGTTGTTATCTTATCATGACATTCTCTGATTATGTTAAATCAGCTATACCCTTGTATGCATCTTGTGGTCAGTTAAATCATTGAATGTATAACATCATGTGGTCGTCACTTTTAATCTTTTGTAATTCTCCTATTGGCGTCACTGTGCGTTTTTCATTACATCTCATATTTTTTCTTTCCTTTTTGTTTTTTGTTTTCTTTTTTTTTTCTTATAATATATGAGAAACGTCATCACTGATTTATCTATTTTAACATGTGTATTGAATATGATTAATCATCATAAAATTGATTATAGCTCATTGGGGTTTATATTTTGATTAGCTAGCAAAAGTTTCTTATGTAAAAAAAAATTATCAATGGGATTGTAGATTTTGTGAAATCAAACATTATGAAGGCTCCTGAAGATGTTCCGGTACGACAATTGGTAGCTGACTCCAATGCGTTTATCAAACGAATACCTTTGCATGTAAGTACTGAAATTGACAGTATGCTAGCAATAAACTTTATAGACGAATTCTTTAATTGTCATCAATTTATCGTTTTGCAATGTTTGAGCTATTTTCTTATCTAGGATTTGGTTGCCATTTCTCATTTTTTACAAAAAAAATTTTAGAATTTGGCTTCGGAGATTTACACGGTGCCGGGAGTGATTAACGAATTAAAGTGCGGAAAAATGCGTCATCTTCTTGATAGTCTTCCGTATAATATTCACATTCAAGAACCTACGACTGAGTCTCTCCATATCAGTTGGTTTCATTGCGTTGAATCAAACCTTATGTCGATATGGCTTAGTAGTACATCACACATTTTTCATTATTTAAGTTTATAATAACTGGTTGTTGTAGTATGGCATTCGATGACTATAATTTTTATTTGGTGATTCTTCTGAAAAACGTTGGCTATCTGTTCAGACTTCCTCACTTGTGTAGTAGTTTTCTCACCTACAGTTCTGACATACGAATTCTTTGTGTCCTGTAAAATACAAATCATGTATTGAACGATTGTTGAAATCATCGTCAATGTTGAGAACACGCAAAACTTTTGCGGTTTTCTGTATTAGTTGATATCTTTTATATGTTTCTCATTTATGATGTTAAGCTTATGCGATGTGGTTGCATTGTTGGTTGCAAATTTAATTAATACAACCAAGGTTGGACTTCTGTTTGAATATGTCAAAAGTTATTTTAGTAACTGAATTTGCGAAGAAAACCGGTGATTACCCCTCATTATCAGCGGTAGATTTAAAATTACTTTCATTGGTGCATGACCTTCACTTGAGACAATATGGAAAAGATGGTTTACGCTATGATCTGGAAATTATTAATAACAAGTCAGTAATTAATTGTCGACAAACAAGAGACACAATAGTAAAACTGGATGATAAAGATATCCAAATGGATGAAGTAAGTATTACAATATTTAATTGTTTAGAGCAGTGCATGTTATATTACCGATTATTTGGGATATGATTTTTCTTTTCTTGTCTTACTAGATATCTCTCCGTCATCTTTGTAACTTTACTGCCGAAATAAGATAATTAATTTTGTACTATTACTACACATTGCAGGATGCTGCGGGAACTGAAGGAAAGGCAGTGTCAGCAGAAATAGAAGGCATCAATGATGCTATTGATAGTACTAGCATTAGCAGCAACAGCAGTGATGGTGGTACTTGGTTAAAAGAGGATAATGTGGATGAAATATTAGGACATATAGGTGAAATATCAATGCCGGAGAAAGAAATGAAGGTTTCAAACTGTTGCAGTCGAATTGACGTTTCAAGCTTTAATTTTACGTTTATTTAGAAGTGCATGCAGTTAGCAACACATCCAAAGATTATATTTAGGTGGCTTGTGTTACAACGGATTTTGCTATGCAGAACGTCCTTCTTCGTTTAGGCCTTTATTTATTGTCTGTTAACGGTTACAGGATACACCGGCTGAATAGTTATATTCTCAGGTAAATTTCCCAGTTAAGATTTGCCATTCGAAGCTTGTGCATTTTAGCAAAAAAAAAAGAAATATTTGACGCACATCCGTTGAAGTCATCAATTTTCACATTTTTTTTTCTAATATTTTACATTAAGATGTATTTATGCAATCAGTAGGCTTTGAAATGTCATTCAATTCTTATGGAAGATTTAAGAATTAGTAATATACAGCTTACTATCAGAGAGAATAGTAATTAGGTTCTAAAAATTAAAAAAAATTTTAAAGAAAGAAAAAGATTAAAGACTTTAAAAATTAAAGAAAGAAGAGAAAAGGAAATAAACAATAAGGGAAAATTATTACCATGAACAATTTTATGCCCTATTTAAGACCACATAGTTAGTCTATCTGAGGCTTCCCTAAGTTGTTCCTTTTCTCAGCTGTGAATAGAATATGACTTATAGATCGAATAAGATATTTATCTTTTTAACGAAAAATATTAAGCTTTGCTTTTAGAAATAAATAGAAATACTTTTTTAAAGATGTTGGGCGTGCTTTGCGACAACAAATGTAATGACAAAGCGTTTTTGTCCTCGATGCGGAAATGACTCATTGCATCGAGTTGCTGTTAGTATTGCTGATGATGGAATGATGCAACTTCATATTAATTGGAATCGATTGCAATCTTCACGTGGACTCAGATATTCCCTTCCAGCTCCGAAGGGTTTATTTTTAATATTGCAAGCAAATTGTTTGTTTTTTAGATAAATGGAACCGTTGTCATCTTGATTTCACTTGTGATTTTGCCTGTGACAGGGTAACTCAATTACAGAAATTAGAAACTCAATTACAGAAATTAGAAACTTTGGTAAAATTACAAACATTTAGTTATGCGTAACTTTGGTAACTTCCACTCATTTTTTTTCAAAATTTTTTTCAAGAAAAATGTATCATACAAAACAAAAAGACGATCTCTGTCTTTTAGGGCTAGGATACACAAGCTGCTTCCGTCTTGCCGTAGAGAAATACTGCATAAGAAATGGAAATTACATTTATTATTTTAATAATATTTAGGTGGAAAGCATCCTGGTGGACCACAGCTTTTTGAAGATCAACCCATGCCACAGAACAGAATGGCTCGCTGTCATCAGGATCCAACGGAACCTGGACCATTCATTATAAAGGATGTGATGAGCAGGTGAATTTTGACTTAACAAATTTAATAAAAGTATAGGGTTGTAGAAATAAAGCTTTTTGTGAAAACCAAAATTTATTCAATTGTAATTTACATATGTTAGGGATGCATAAAATTCCTTACATGACTTGAACAAATTATAAATTCTATTCAATAGTTACATCAAATGTAGGTGTGCTTATCAGTGGTCTTCGTTAATAGGTCTGCTTATCAATGGTCTTCGTTAATAAATTACTTTTGATTTTAGGTCAGCAGTATTAGGTATACGGTCGTTGCAAAAAGCTGGGCGGAATCCAAATGTCCGAACACATGGGAAAAAACGAGGAAATAAGCGACGATAGATTTGCTTTGTTGTTATAAAATCTTCATTCGTCTAATATCAATTTCATTGTTTTTTGAGTACGACAGTAGTGAATCTCCAGTAATTTGATTGACTGATAAACTGTAAGAAATAGTTTGATCTGACTACCATGAGTAAAAGATGTTTGACAAAGAAAATATCGGAGTGGTAAGTTATAGAAGCAGACTATCTGGAATAAAAATTTGTGGTCATTATTGAGAATGATTAAAATTTATTATGTATTCTGTTTCATCTACTTCTGTTCACAATAAATAAAATGTTCATAACAATTAGTCAGTTGGA